GGGACCTGCTTCCGAAGGTTTTCCACAAAGTGACACAGAGCAGAAGTTGCAGCTTTAAATCTTTCCACAGGGGCAAATAACCTCAAGCGCCAAAACCCTCAGACACAATAATCATATTAAGTGAAATCCCTCGTTGAAAAGCACAATTTTTTAATCTGGAAAGAGAAAAATAAAATAAAACAGAAACACAACATATACATATTAATGGCCTAGCATTCTTAGAAGGAATCACCTTTCATTCTTCTGAAGAAGGGAAAATGTTAAATTTAATTATATTGTATGATTTGCTAGTGCTTGAAGTATGTATAAAGGATGTCCCTCAGCAACTACCACTCCAAGTTTTGGCTCAGTATCTGTAAAATTGACCGTTAGATCCATTTTTGTGTTGAACAATGTTTTAGCTATCGTGGCCAATCTTGACTTGGGGCAACTCCATCGGTTGAACGGTTGAAGACGCACAGACAACGATTGATTTCTGAGAGTTTCACTAAAATCTTTCCTGTGGTTCGTGAGATATTTTGCTAACAGACTGACAGAGGTGACGCCCACAGTTAATGCCAACTTTTTAAGCAAAAATATGTGTTGAACATGAAGTATGGTTTGGGAATAATGCTTAGCCACTGCCACAGCAAATTTGAGCTCTCTGGCTGTACAACTGGCAGAGTTTCAGCCATTTCTGTGATTCTCATGATGTGGCAGCCATCTTGAAATGGATTTACTTTTGAAAGTTAATCAGTTTTAGAGGTATACCCACTGATTACATTCTGATGGCATCATCAAAATCTGTCCATGAGGTATTTTGTCGTTACCGACAAATACAGGCATAAAAGAAATGATCTCCCCTCACCTTCTGCAGGTGGCCATAAACATCTGAAGCTTTCAACCAGTTTAAACTAATTCATCACACCTGACATGTTCAGGTTCCCCATGTTTAACCTGGATCTGAACAGAGTTCCACAGTTAAACACTGTGCAGGGTTATACTACTAAATCTGGGGCTTTGCTATTGTGACCTTTGTGAGATTTAGTTCTGCAGTCGAGTCCCACAATCCTCATACTTGTCATCACGTGTTTCACGCTTCTGCCGCGCGCTTTCCGCTCACCGTGCGGGGAAAGAGTGGCAATTTGAAGGAATTTTAAGAAACTCTTGTATGAATTATAAAAGTTTTATAGCTGGCGATCTCTCCCTTTGTTCTCCCAACGAGGACCTCCACCTGTTTCTGATGATGTGAGCCAGAGCTTGTCCCTTTCAAGAGGCTGATCCCTCCTGATCTCTTTGATGTAACCTGACCTATCAGGTCCAACTAGCGGGATTTGGTGATCATGGATAGACCCGCAACAACAGCCTGTGAAAATCAGAGCTAGCAGGCAAAGATTGAGGGGGGATGGACGACAGGGATGTGCGACTGGGAGCTGCGATGTGTCTGAACGCCATGCAGGCAGCGGTCACATGATCAATGCTGCCAGCCCAGACTTAAGCAGTAAAACCTGTGGATCTGTGAGGGCACATGCAACTGATCGGAGATGAAAGACAAGCTTTGACTTTCACAGGAGGCCTGGGATTGGGGGGGCTGCGAGGGGGCACTTCTGAGGGACTGCCATCAGAACAGCTGGGTCATTTTCAAATGACCCAATTCTCAGATTAATCCACTCAGACGTGCATGGTTAAATGTGTGTCTGTGCACACCAAAGAGGATGGGAAGTAAAGAAAAGGTGGCGGAAAAACAAAAAGGCCAGAAAAGTTTGGGGTTCAAACGAGGTGCACAGAGAAAAGCAAAACATCCCGTCGTGTATGCTCATAACCCTCATCTTAAACATTGTTTTAAAACTTAAAACAGTAATAATCTTGAACTTTGTTCCTCTGTTATAATTCAGTGATGATCGTCTAAAAAAAATCCAAGGTCTAGAATATATCAGAGTTTCTTTATTTGTCGTTCGCACCACATGAACGAGATTATGTTCACAGGGTCCCAGTTACATCCAACAATAAGATGTGAAAGAAAAACAGTAATAACATCTAAGATATGAACTAATAAAAACATCAACTAAAAATACGCTAAGCACTAGTAGCATAAAAACATTACGCCGAACAGCAGCACGAACATGAGTCTGTGTGAGCAGATGAGCACGAATGAAAACACCAACATGAAACGGATCAGCAGCAACATGAAACAGATCAGCAGCAACATGAAACAGATCAGCAGCAACATGAAACAGATCAGCAGCAACATGATGAGATTTTTCACTGATCATTCTGGTTAGAGATTCACGAGTCTAACAGCCTCAGGGTAGAAGCTGTTCCTCAGTCTAGTGGATCTACATTTAATGCTCCTTAACCTCCTTCCTGAGGGGAGTGGGGCAAAATGTGTGTGTGCTGGGTGAGTGGGGTACTTCGTGATGCAGGTGGCCCTCTTCCTGCATCTGGAGGTGTAGATGTCTGTGATGGTGGGGAGACTGATTCCAACAGTCTTCTGTGCAGCCTTCACCACTTTCTGCAAAGCTTTTCTTTCTGCAGATGTGCAGCCTCCATGCCACACGTTGATGCTGGAGCACAGGATGCTCTCCACAACTGTTGAAGGAGGTGAGGACTGTGCATAAATATAAATGTATTTATAAATGTCATATAAATGTCAGTTCATATGGAATTGACATATTCATATGGAACATATAATTATATGTTAATATAATTATATATATATATATATATACATATATATCCATATGGAACTGACATTCATATGGAACATATATGGACATATAAATGTCAATTCTCAGTTAGTGACAGCCACACCAGTTTTCATCACGCACCATATTGATTTACCAGGCCTGTACCTTTATGTTGACTGGTGCCAGTACTCTGCAGAGAGAAACCACAACCAGAAGTGGAAATTACCGTAAATGCTGTAAAGGCTGCGCCACCAGAGATTAATTACCATAAATGTGGGGAAACGTAGCTCAGTCTACAACAAATCACCATAAATGTAGAGAAAGTCGTGACATTGAAAATGAAGTAAATTAATACAGAAATAACTTTTCCTCTTAAACTAAATTACCATAAATGTGGGGAAAGTTGTGCCACGTCAAATGAACAACTGTAAATGTTAGGAAAGCTGTGGCGCCTAAATTGAATTAACGTAAAATGACTAAAACGATGAATGTAAATACATGTAAACGCGTGCAAATAAAGAAAAAAATATAATGATTTTACTCAAATTTAACTATAAATATGGATCCAGATCCCATTCTGCCATTTGGGGACTCCGCTAAAGATTTACAGTAGATCTATTGATGTATATCTGCCGCTCCTTTTGGGGAGATTGTTTCACTGCCCGGGCATCTCTTCCTGGTAGTGAGCGTGTCAGAGGCCAGCATCCATCTGCGAGTGATTTACAGGTTCCATTGTTGAAGATGATGTGTGATAAAACAGAGAGGTACGGGTCAAAGTGACTATAGACTCAATATGTGACAGAGCCTCTTTTCCCGGGCTTGTACCACATGTTTTAATCTCTGCAAGCATGTGTTTGAAGTTCACAGCCAACACCATCCGTCCTGCTGGGGGACTTTATATCCATCTTACCTGCCCTTTGTGAGAAGACATGCAGAGGTTTTTAACAAATTATAGCCAGGCTCATCCCAAAAATTCAAACTTGACCACGTTTTATATGAAAATCTCTGCAGCCGTAAAGAGTGAACAAGAACCTGCATAGAAAATCCTATCTGTGCAAAATCTGATTTGATTAAGACGAACATGAAGAAGCTAAAGCTGCACGACTGCATGAACTCAGACACCTGCAGTTTTTGTATAAATGCAATATGTTGCTTGATCCTGAAACTGCAGCTGTTGAACATGCAGTGAGTGAAATCCACTGAAACTGGTGTAAAGGAAGAAATGTGTCCAACAGAGTTTATTATCAATCACCTTTTCTCGTGAAGCGCTGGACAAATTATTCGAACTGATCATCACCTTTAAATAATCACTTTTCACCCTTTGAGCTGCTTTTACTTAACCTGAATGGTTAATTCAAGAGAAGCTTGGCTCAACGGTTTCGCAGCCTTCCCATCAGGATGCTCTGCTCCACTTCAGATGTACAGGAGAGCATGTTGGGAAAGGCTGAAACAAGAGGGAGGAGGCAAAAAGGGGTGAAAGAGTGATGTCTGCTTTGATCTCTGGAGGCCCTGTCTGGATTAAAAGAAGAAGAAGTGTCCTTTTCTCTTAACCTTAAGAAAATGTGAACAACTCAGGAATCCCTCTGAATAATAACAAGAATCGTTTAAAAAGGAAGAGTCCAGATATTTTCCCTACAAATATAAGTGATTTTCCTCCCGTTGCTTTTCTCGTCTGAGTCTTATCCAAGATGCACATTCTCACTTCATAAATCTGTGGTGGGAAATTTGTGGTGGGATGGGAAATGGACATTTCAAGGCCAGTAAAAAAAAATAAAAAAACACCACATCAAATAAAACATTGTGGATCAAAAAAACCAACGCATGAACTTTTTTTTTTTTTTGGGGGGGGGGGGGGGGGGGTCTTCCACAAAAAAAAAAAAAATATTAAAAAGGGCGTTTGTGTGTGTGTGTGTGTGTGTGTGTGTGTGTGTGTGTGTGTGTAGGGGGGTAGTAGTAGTAGTAGTAGTCTGCCACGCTTGATCATGCCCTGAGTCCTGCCCCGCGCCGTGTGATTGGCTGGACCGACGCACATGGGGGGAAAGTTTGAATAAAATACCAGAGCATGGCACAGTGTTGTCGTTCAAGCTCGTGCGCTTGTCCCGCAAGCACTTCGGTCTGTCTCAACCAGAGAAGAGCAGAGAGTTCAGTCTTTGAAGCAGATTTAGACACTTCCATCGGATAATTCTGCTCGACCAAAGGGAACTTGTTTTTAGTTGGAGTCTTGCAGGCGCGGACAAGTGTCGCGGCGTCTCCAAAACTCGTGCGCAGTTGCTGTTTGCGTCTTTCCTCCCGACATTTGCCCCTCAATCACTCAGAGGAAGATCTAAAGATCTGAGATGAAGGCGCTCAGGATGGTTCTATCAGTGCTGCTGCTGGTTCTGGTGCAGTCCGGCGCGTTTTACGCACGGAGGTTCCGGGGCGGCCGCAACCCGCAGCAGCAGCGGCGCGCGCCGCCTCCTCCCACGCACCGGGCGGACCGCGGGGACACCACGGAGAGCTTCCCGCTGGACTTCACCGCAGTGGAGGACAACATGGACAACTTCATGACGCAGGTGAAGAACCTGGCGCAGTCCCTGTACCCGTGCTCCGCGCAGAAGCTCGACCACGACATGAAGCTGAACTTTTTGCTGAACACGTCGGTCACCTGCAACGACGGGAGTCCTGCTGGGTATGTACCAACTCATAGGGGGAAAAAAACATAAAAATATCAGAGGGATCAATTTTTAATCAATTTTTATTTCTATAAACATGACTGGATGAGAGCGCGCTCACCTGGAGCTCTTCGTTGGCTTTTTCCCCCCCTTTAAATAAAAGTCTAATTTTGAGTTGAGTTACTTATTTTAAAAGTGATCAGTAACATTTGAAAAGAGGGAGAACGCGTGAGAAAACAAAAGCAACGACGGCCTCTGTCAGGACAGGAGCATGCGGACACTGGACAGCTGCTTTGCGTCAGCGGAGCGTGAAATTTGCGGAGAGCCGCGCGGTCCACGCTCCATTTCCTCTGCTTCAAACTAGAATGCACGGTCTGCTCCGCACAAACTTTGGACTGGAGCTTCTCAACACCCCCCCCCCCCCCCCGTGCCCATCTCTTTCTGTCTGATCCTTGATCTGTTTTAAGTTGGCATGTTTCAGGAGGTTTTCATATTAACAGCAAACAGCTGGAGCCTCTTCAACTCAGTGATGCAGAAACAAACTTTGTGTTTAAATAAAAAAAAAAAAACTAAAAAAAAAACTTAAAATAAATGTGAGTTTCTGAGAAAAATATCCCATACGAGCAATTAACTTCACACAATTTGTGCACTATTTAATTATTTTAAACACCACAGTCTGATCCAAGCAATAGTCCCATTTGAATGAGGATATTATTTCATATGTGTCAGATGTGTCACATGTTGTCTTGTTCCTGTGCAGGAGAACCTTTTGCTCTTGGCTCACCCTGACTGACTGAAGTGATGCTTGATGCTCACATCTCTTTATGGATGTAGAATCAACCCCCCTGACACATCTGGCTGCTGTGAAGCTTTTAGCTCTTTACAGACAGGATTGGCAGGTGGCCTTTTTGTATTCACGGTGGCTGCCATCAGTTAGGATGCTAATCCAAATAACAGCATTATCCAGAGAGCTACTTATCACCTCAAACATAAAACCTGAACTGACTGAACAGGAGCCTCTCCGTCTTGCGCTTCAACAAATGTGTTTGTTGCTTAAATGGCGCTGAAGGACATCCAGCCTGCATCACTGAGCGTAACTCCCAGAAATAATCATATAAAACACAAAAGCAGAGCCAAAGTGTGATTCAGTGTCTGAGCTGAGCGGCTCAGCCAAGTGTCTTTAAACGCAGCAAAATGTGTTTGGCAGCCTTTTGAGTTGAGTCATTCCATCAAGTCAAACACTCACTGCAGAAAAATGTAAATGCACCAAATAAAAATTATATAGAAGCTAAACACACACACACACACACACACCTTTATGCAACAAGTAATTATATCAGCATGTGAGATTCAGATTGCCCTCTTCTGGACTGAAAACAAACAGCACATGTCCTTTGATCCTACTTGAATCAACTTATTTTCAGGCTGCATCTCAACATCTGCACAGATGTTAATGACGGCGCATTCTTATTGTGCGCGTTGCTGATGTCAGGGATTCCCTTCGCAGAGTTTATGAGAGCGCATCGCACAAGTGTTCATGCTGTGAAACTATAGATCATGATCGGATAGTAACTTTCATATTTGCTCCTGCAGGTATTACCTGAAAGAGTCTCGGGGCAGCAGAAGGTGGTTGATATTCCTTGAAGGTTGGTCTACTTTTCTTTTTCTTTTCATCCTGCAATTGAGGAATTTTTGCTCGTTGTGGGAGACGAATAGATTCCCATAGAATGCGAACGTTGTGTGTTTGTTCGCCTCTGCAGGCGGCTGGTACTGCTTCAACAAGGAGAACTGCGACAGCCGCTACGAGACCATGAGGAGGCTGATGAGCTCCTCCAAGTGGCCCCAGACTAAAAGAGGTCAGCCATGTTTGTGCACGTCCACAACCCACCCCTCCCTCACCTGTAGCCCCGTCACAACAGCCTCGCAGACTTGAATGCAATTTAATTAAAAGAGATCAGATGGATGCGTGCTCATTTGTGGTGTTATTAAGACCTGCACCCAGTCATAACCTCACTGCCGAATATTTAACTGGCGCCCGCTGCTAAAGCAGCAGAGATGGCTCCGTCTGTCACTGCGCTGTAATAACTATAATCCGTCTGGTAATGATGATAAATAAGAGGAGGATGTGTTTGAGGGGAGCCAGCATGGCTAATGATACACGGTGATGTGTCTCTGCAGGCACGGGGATCCTGTCTCCGCTGCCTGAGGAAAACCCTCACTGGTGGAATGCAAACATGGTGTAAGTACTCGTGTTCGTGCGCTCGGTTGATGGTTGGAATCCCTGCGAGGAGCTTGAACTTGATGCTGTTTGTGCAGGTTCCTCCCCTACTGCTCCAGCGATGTGTGGAGCGGCACCGCGGCCAAAACAGAGCAGAGTAAGAAACTGCAAAAAAAAATGCTCATGATGATCAGGGGCTTGTGTTCCAAAGATGAACTCTGTTGACGTCGTGTTGCAGGTGGTTACGCCTTCATGGGCTCACTGATCATTCAGGAGGTTGTGAAAGATCTGCTGAGCAAAGGGCTGGACACCGCCAGGGTCCTCCTGTTGGCAGGAAGCAGGTTTGTTTCGTGCGATCGGCTTTTAAAGTCGTCAAAGTTCATGCTCACTCATCCACGCGTCAAATCCAATTCCTCTAACTTTGTGCACCTGTTTCTGTCGGCAGTGCGGGCGGCACTGGCGTTCTTCTGAACGTGGACCGTGTGTCCGAGCTGCTGGAGGAGCTGGGCCACGGCGCCGTGCACGTGCGAGGCCTCTCCGACTCCGGCTGGTTCCTGGACAACAAGCAGTACCACTGCGCCGACTGCGTGGACACGGCCAGCTGCACCCCCACGGAGACGATCAAAAGAGGAATCAAGTACGGGAGAAACATAATCATTCATTAAAAGCCTTGAAAGTCTCTCCTCCCTGCCGGAGTTTTAGACTAAGATCGTGTTATGTTAAGAAATGGAATGCAGCCGTTTTGATCAAAGCTTTAAAATGCAATTTAGCAAGTTGTCACACCCAGAGTCTGTGCTGTGCTGTGAATGGCTCTCAGCTACGAACACATGACATTTTAGCTCAATAGCTGTTCAGTAGTCTGAGTTATATTCATTTATGTGTTAGTCACGTTTGAATAACTGGGATGACCATCGTGAATTGGACTGACTCCAAAAGTTAAACAGCTGTAGATGCATATACAATGATTACTTTCTGAAAGTTTCATTCAAATTTGTCCAGTGGTTCAAAAGTTATTTTGCTAACGGCCAAACACAGTTAACTCCAGCAGTTAATGCTAAAGTTTTTAATCAAAGATCACCTGCAATAAGTATCAGTTGGAGTATTTGTTTAAATTACTCTCAGCTATAACCTCGCTAAATTTTAGCTCAATATCTGTTCAGTAATCTGAGCTATGTTCATTTTTGTGTTGGTCACATTTGAATAACTGGGATGACCATCGTGAATTGGACTGACTCCAAAAGTTAAACAACTGTAGTTGCATATATAATGATTACTTTCTGCAAGTTTCATTCAAATTTGTCCAGTGGTTCACAAGTTATTTTGCTAACGGACAAACACAGTTAACCCAAGCAGTTAATGCTAAAGTTTTATTAAAAATCACTTGCAATAAGTAGCAGCTGGAGTATTTGCTTTAAATTCCATCAGCTATAACCTCGCTAAATTTTAGCTCGACATTGTTAACATGGACTGTCTTAAATTCATTTAAGTGCTTTTTAAGTTCATTTGGCTGCGGCAACCATCTTGAATCGGGTTGAATTCAAAAGCTAATCAGATACAGACATACATCCAATAATTACGTTTGGCAAGTTTCATTTAAATTGTGGTGCCGGTACGGGAGATATTTTGCTAACAGACATGGGCAAAAGCATTCATTTTTCTTTTCTTGCCATTTTGATCAGATACTGGGGAGGTGTGGTGCCAGAGAGGTGCAAACAAACCCACGACGGGGAGGAGTGGAACTGCTTCTTTGGATATCGAGTTTTCCCATCTATTAAAAGTGAGTTTAGGATCATCTTTGCACACATTTATATCCTCTGAGCCACATTGTATGTAATTACTCTTTTGTCCCCGGGCAGGCCCGGTGTTTGTGGTTCAGTGGCTGTTTGATGAGGCCCAGCTGACGGTGGACAACATCCAGCTGACGGGTCAGCCTGTGCAGGAAGGCCAGTGGCGTTACATCCAGAATCTGAGCATTGAGCTGAGGAACACACTCAAAGATGTCCCGTAAGGCTGCGTCGCTGCTATTTCAAGAAAAAAAAAAAAAAAGAAAGCTGGAATATCTTCAGTAATTCACTTAATTTTTTTTTTTAAATCTTCAGTGCCATGTTTGCTCCAGCTTGTCTCTCACATGAAGTCATCACCAGAAGGTAAGTCTAGTGTCACGTTTTAAGCTCCCTGACAAGTTCACATTTCCACTCCTGAGCTGACAGCGCCCTCTTGTGTTGGGTTCCAGCTACTGGATCGATGTGCAGGTGAAAGGCACCTCTCTGCCCCGAGCTCTGCACTGCTGGGACCGCAGCCTCCACGACAGCAGGAACAACAAGGCGCCGCCCAGGGCCTGCCCCGTGCACCTGATCGACAACTGTCCCTGGCCTCACTGCAACCCCACCTGCCCCACCATCCGAGACCAGTTCACAGGGCAGGAGATGAACGTCATCCAGTTCCTCATGCACATGGGCTTCGACGTGCAGAAGATGGCCCAGCAGCAGGGCATGGACCCGAGCAAGCTACTGGGCATGCTCAGCAGCGGCAGCTAAAGCGGGCACGCATTAACACGCTAAGCTAAACAGAGCTGGATACTGGGCCAGTCTCCCATAACCAATACCTCCATCTCACTTCACATCCACTCCTACCTGTTGCCTGTTCACCTTTGACCTCTGTCAGCCCACGTTTCAGTTTGATCCCCCAATAGCTGCACGACAAGGCACTATTTTCTGCTACTCCTTGGAAAATCTTTTGTTTTGTAAAAGAAAACTACAACGAATGTATTCCAGTTTTAAGGATGCTAATTGATATTTTCCTCTGTGTTTATTTCATCCTAAATCCTGAAATAAGATTTAGTTCATGCAGAATCGATAACAAAACCATATTTTTTCAGGACTTTAAGGGTTTAAATAAAATAAAGGACATAAAGTGACGCAGTTAGCAGAAACAGGGTAAAGTGATGAAGAAAGCACTCAAGAGGAACTTTTTATAGCTCTGAAACGAACGCAAAGGCAGAACTACTTCTTACCTTTCAAAACGAATCTAAAATAATAAAATATATATGTAAGTAGATAACTTTAAGTTATTATATTTAAGAAATAATAATAAAAAAAAAAAAACAATCCAACTGAGATATATCTACTTCAGGTGGCTCCAAATGTATCATAAAATCAGTTTTTGTCTGAAATGGTGCTAAAGTGGGCCTGAAGACACATCATCATCATCACCATATAGTGCCATTACAGCTAGTCTTTACCTCAAACATTCATATTGGATAATCAATTTAATATTCAATATCCAGTCTTTGGTCTTTACCTCTTTCTCGTGGACGATATTGTCATTAGAGGAACGTTCGAACCTGATTGGAGGATCCACGTCTGTCAGGTCCCCTCAGCAATTCGGTCCTCAGATTCAGCGCACACTGAACATTTAAAGGGAGACAAATATTGTGTATTTGTATTTCTTTTTTTGAGTACTTGTATAGTGTTTTTTTTTTTTAAGTGTTCATCGTTGTAACTCCCTTCTTATATTTCATTATAGAGATCACACATTAATATAAAGACAATGTTGTATGTAATAACTTTTTAAATCATGTTTGTAAAGGAACTTCCATATTTTGCATCACGCCAAGAAAAAAAAAAGAAAAAAAAAAAAAAGAAGAAGTATTACTAAATGTAATTTTATTCTGTAACATATTTTTTTAAGTGAGAAAAATATTAACTCAAGCTACATTGGTAATTTTACATATTTATTTTGTTATGTAAATCATATTTATAAGTGCTATTTTCTTCGCAGAGAAGTGATTCTTTGTAAATTGTAAATACGTTGCTGTTTTTTTTTTTGTGTGTCGACTGCATGTCTTTGTATCACACCTGAAAGGAAAAAGATGTATTACATATACTACAAGTTACTTATTTCCAACCAGTCTCCTCGTTATTTATTATAATATTCAAAAGAAACGGTGGTTACAATGGTGCTAGAAAAGTCCTTTATATCATTTTGAAATGACAAGACATGAAGAATTAAACTAAAAAAAAAACACAAAAGATGTGAAAACTAAAAGGATTCTACAAGTGGTTCATCAAAAAGTTCCAAAAATCTATTGATTAGATATTTAAGTATATGTAAATTAATATTAAATAAAAGAAGAGATAAATAAATAAAACTGAAAATGGACATTTCGATGCAAGTCGGCAACCTAAAATGTCAAGAAATACTATAAATTTCCTGAATACAGAAAGAGATTAAATCTTAAACCGAGGAGAAACCAGTTTTGCCCGGACAAAAGTCACTCAGTTATCCATCGTGAAGACTTTGATGCAAACTTTGATTCCAACCTTGGTTTTGTTGTGGCTTCGTCTGGTGCAGGCTGTGTTTACTGTAACAGAAATACACGCCGCAGTTTGACCTTCATTCAAAAACTTTCCTACAAAAAATTTACATCGGACTTTCCAAAAACACGCAGCAGTGGACGAAAAAGAACCGTCTTTGTTGAAGATTTATAAATTAAAATCACGCATATTTGACATCAACACAGTGCTTCTACCTCCCTGTCACATGTTGGGGCTAAATTTGCCATTGCTTGTGTATAATCATCCCTCTCAAGTCATGTGTAATTCATGCCTCTAATGGAAGTTATAACATCCCTCCCTGTCATTACACACTGTGTAAATGCCAGTTTCTTACAGAGGGAACTCTGAGTCAGCCTCTCTAGAAATACGACTCCCATCCTGCCGGCCACATGCAGCCTCCCACCCGTCTGTGGAATATAGACCCCCTATTTATAGAGCTGGCAAGACCTGCAACCCCGGGCTCGTCACAAACTTTCATTTAAACAGCCACCAGTAGAAATCCACCGAGCGCACAGTGACACACACACCAACACAGGAGGGACAGGATGTGCTCGCTAACGTCAAGAAAAGTGGAAAGCCCAATCTGAAAGGCAAAAGGAGGCAGAAGCAGCAAGACGAAGAGCAAGGCTGAACCCAAACGGGCATTTAAGGGTCTGCAGGATAAGAAACTTTTCCACCTGTCGGTACTGAGAGCTATTGTTGGAACGCTGATGTTTGGATCAAACAGCTACGTGGAGGAGACCGTGACTTTGACCTTTAGATGCACTGGACACAAGCAATTTGGGAAGAACATTAAAAGGGAGTGCCTTTTATTACAAAGTAAGATAAATACTGTTTGATTCCTCTGCACACGTCTACAAGTGGATTGTCTCCGATACAAGGGTTGACAACAAATCCGAGCTTGTTAAAGCGACACCTTTTCAGCGTTTAACTTTTGTTTCTTAGACTGCTGTAAAACTTATTCGCAGCTGTGCATAAGTGTAACTTGGTCTTTCGCACACTCCTCTAATTACAAGGCGTGCTTGGGAATTACAGCCACTTGTGATCAAGGGCCATCTGCAAAAGGAAACCAAAAAAGGGGTGAGGTCCATGTGAAAGAAGAGCATAGGCCGCAAGAACACCAGTGCAGAGAACAAGATCGTCCCCAAAGAAAACTTCTGGAAGACATCATGGATGCTCATGGAGGACACTACCTCAACAAAGACGCGGTGCTGTCACCTTTGGGTGCAGCCCGAATTTGCCAGCTGGTGCTCGGCTGCACCATAATGGCCTTGGTGTCCCACGGAGCAGGCTACAGTGCAAACTACGGAACCTTCTGCATGTTCGTGTGGTGCTTCTGCTTCGCGGTCACGCTGGTGGTGTTCACGATGGACATCACGCGGCTCCACACCTGCATGCCAATTTCCTGGGATAACTTCACGGTGGCTTTTGCCATGCTGGCGACACTCATGTACATCACCGCCTCTGTGGTCTACCCTGTTTACTTCCTCCAAACAGATGACCCCAATGAAGACGTCGATGTCCAAATCTTCCGTATTGTTGTCACCATCTGTTCCAGCATTTGCATCTTCCCGTACGGAGTGGAGGTATTCCTAACAAGAGCAAAACCAGGGGCTGTGGTGGGCTACATGGCCACTGTGTCAGGTCTGCTCAAGGTGGTCCAGAGTTTTGTGGCCTGCATTATTTTTGGGGCCCTAGCTAATGACAGTGAGTACAACCTGTACATTGCCACGCAGTACTGCGTTGTGGTGTACAGCCTGTGTTTTGCCATCACTGTCATTGTTGTCATACTGACCGTATCTGGTAGAACCGCCATGCTGAAGTTCCCGTTTGACCGCTTTGTAGTGGTCTACACCTTCTTTGCTGTGATCCTTTACCTGAGCACAGCACTCGTCTGGCCCATCTTCAGCTTCGATAAGAAATATGGCAACACCACTCGTCCGGAGGACTGCCCGCGTGGACAGTGTCCCTGGGACAGTAAGCTGGTTGTGGCCGTCTTCACCAATGTCAACCTGGTGTTGTATTTTATTGATGTTGTTTACTCCCAAAGGATTCGCTTTGTTTCCAGTTCTGCTGCGTAAGAAAAAAATACTTTGCTCATTGGAGACAATTACAGATTTTGTGAAGAACCCACTACCCCTACTCCAAAGTTAATGGTATTATTTATGAGAGACATTTCTGTCAGTTAACTTCTTGTATTTTTTCGTGTTTTTATGCTGGCAAAACCAAAGTATTTTATTCAAATGCGTTTAAGTAAGTAAAAAGAATGCCCTTAGAGATGTAAAACAAGTGACGTCTTTAGAATGCACTGAATTTCTTCATTTGATTTTTTTTTTAAAAACAATTTTGTTACAGTTATTTTATCCTATTTGTAATAAATCCTTTATATAAAATATTGTGGTTGTTGCAGAATTGCAAACGTATTTAAATGCAGTCATAAGAACGTGGTTCAGTTGGGGGAGGGGCTTTCTGTGTACATCAACAGTACTTGTGTAAATTTGTATGTCTCAACACCTTTGCGAAGAATAGTATATCAAATATTTGCAGTGAAATGCACTCTGGCTGTGCATGTTGTCTTATCTAAATACACAAAAAGTACAGTTTGATGTTTATTTTGGATCAGCAAGCTCTTTATAATTGGTATCATGACCTAATGCTGCTCTGCTCATTGTTTGTGTGGTTTTTAAGAGGTTATAATTTAAATATGCAATAACAGTGCTGACTTATTAATCAGATTTACAAAACTTTTTAGATATTCACGTCAGCCTTCATCTATCAGGGGGTGCTGCAGCACAGTTAGCTCCCCTACTTTCAATGGTTTTGTGCCTATAAATAAGTTTTTGTTTGGATAGAAGCAAATGACAGTGTTTGCAACTTTTCCTTTTTCTGGCACAGCACATGTTGAACTTTGAATCTGAGTAGCATTCCTCATTCAGTGTTATGTTTGCTTTCGTGTTTAATGAAATGTCAACTTGAGAGTTGATGCTCAGTTTGAACTTTTCATGTTTTGTGTCTTCCTGTGAAACAGCTTTTCAGAGAACCTTTGGATCAACTTTCAGTCCGACTTGATTTTAACATTAAAAAAAAAAGTTTGTGCAGTATTGCTTGTTTTTATAGATCGTTTGAAGATAATGCTTCATTCTTTAAAAAAAGGTACCCCCCACCCCCATTCCCTGAATAAAAAAAATTGCAAGTGAAATGCCAACTGCCCTGTGTTTGTTAATGCTGCCGAAAACTTGTTAACCAACACATGACCAGCTTCTTGTAGGTCAATTTCTTATGGTTTTCAGCAGATTCAGCTTTGTTTACATCGAGCGTGGACCTGCAATTCAGAATTACTTGCAGTATGTCTGCAAAATTACTGGAGTAGTTTATCTCAGACTAAACCATTTGGTATGGTATAATCTTTTGCATGATTGATTGATTTCATAGTTTGCGATTAGTACATTTAAAATCTAAAAAAAACAAAGTTTGCCATACAATGCCAATGCTTTAGTATATTTGCTTGTCTCCGCAAAGGAAGAATTAGGTTTCGTATCAACACTAATAAGTTGTATTTTCCGTAGTAAAATACATTATCAATTGCTTTCAAAAAGTTGAAATAAAACTGAAGTCATTTGTGATGTCAATAATCTATCTATAGACTGTTTTAACAAAGAGTGAGACACATTATAATAAACAATCTTCTGTATTTGGGTCACTGGTCGTGTGATGCTCCTGGCTTTTCTTCTGTGCAGAACCCGCCTATCTTTTCGTTTCGCGCTGTCATTGGTCAGTCAGGTCACGTGTTTGTAAAAAGCTCCAAGCTCATTGGCTAGCTCTTCTGCCATTAATGTGTAGGTAGGTACTGGAGCTCGCGACACGAGGAAGTTGTTTTATGCTAACGTTGGTGTGATTTTCTGTAGTTTTCAGTAAGTTAACAAGTTTAAGGATTCTTCTGATTTGAGTAAGTGCTTTTAATCATATGTATTAATTATATAAACAAAAATTCTACCATTATTATGCTTGCCAAAATATATCGTTGCTTCGGATGATCAGGAAGTGGGACCAGTTTGTTTACTGCACGACTGAAAGAAAAATGACACGTTGCTCTTGAGCTGTAGGACGTAGTAGCAAATTATCCGTCTCTGTCGGCAATAAACGTAAAAATACATCTAAAAATGGCTGTTTTTGACTGTATTTTTTTACAGGCATCATGAGTGTGGGTTTTATTGGAGCGGGCCAGCTGGCTCATGCTCTGGTTCGAGGCTTCTCAGTTGCAGGTGATTTTATACTTTACCATCTGTGCAATAATTCTGACTTGTCTTGCTGACATATAAAGATTAGAATCAAGCACTAAAGTTATTTCTGGGCATCTGTCACGGTCAAGGCGTGATTGCCACCCACAGAATCACAGCCAGTTCTCCAGACACAGACCAAACCACAGTGCAGCAGCTGAGGGTGGGTAGACACTTTAAATGGACATTAAAGCTATAATCAGTCAGTGGATTCTGTTTGGCAAGCCATCTTTCATGTTCAAAACGAATCTTTTACACACAAGCGTCTGCTTCTTTAAAATAGAAATTGGGAGTGAATTTCACCACCAGCAACAAGGAGACGGTGAGCAAAAGCGATGTCCTGTTCCTGGCTGTGAAGCCCCACATCATTCCCTTTGTACTCGATGAGATTGGACCAGACATTGAGGACCGTCACCTGATTGTCTCTTGTGCTGCAGGTGTCACTATCAGCTCCATAGAGAAGGTGAGTCATAACCTTTGGAAGATAAATTTGATTTTCTTTCTTCCTCCGAGTCCTTGATAGGTGCTGTTTTGGTGCAGACAACAAACATTTGAACTTAGTGGTTATTTGTATGAATGGATATTTAAGGTCCTGCTCATCGTCTTTCATGCCAGAGTTTAGTGGAAGATATTTTTTTGGTAAGAAATGGGAGTTGCAACCACTGTGGTCAAACTTTGAATATTGTGGGATGCTCAGAGTATGTGTTGTGAATGACTCTCAGCTACAACCGCTACAACTTTTAGCTCAATGTCTGTTACATTGACTGAATTATAGCCATTTTTGTGCTTTCTAAGTTCAGGTAGCTGAAGCAGTTATCTTGAATCAAGTTTACTCCAAAAGTTAATCAGTTTAGATGTACATTCAACTAGGGGTGCACCGATCTCTAAAAAGTCTGACCTGCCGATTCCGATTTAGTTTTATAAGCGACACTGTCCGGTGTTATAAGGTCACAACGCACCTTCAATTTTCCAATCTTATTTTATTGAAAAACATACCCTTGAACAATATCCTAGGAACAATACAAACTTGTTTTAACTGGCCATGAGGTGGTGCTCTGAAATATAAATGATGTTTAGACAATTGTAGTTAAAACTACAAAAAAAAAATCAGTAAAATCGGTTTCTCATGCAAGTATCGGCCGATCTCCAAAATTAAGGAAATCGGGGCTGATGAATCAGTGCACCCCTACATTCAACAATTACTTTCTGCAAGTTTCATCAAACACTATCCAGTTGTTCATGACAGATTTTGGTAACAGGAAACAGGCAAAAACATTATCGCTTATTTGGTGCATGCATTTGTTTATTGATCGTACGAGTAAAGTAAAACCTAATGGTGCCATTAAAACTTAAATCTCATCACAGCTGCTTATCCTGCTTGTAACGCTTCCCACGTTCTCCCAAAATACCTTGCAATTTTCATTTCAAGCTTCTTTGTCGAGTTTTGTCTTCAGTCAGGTTATTCCGTAAACCAGAAAGGATTGCTTTTGACACAAAACAAAAGTTCAGAAATTGCAACTTGAATTTGAAAAGTTAGTTTTGGAGCAGAATGTTTTCACTTGAAAACACATTTGAACTAAAAAAATTTAAAAAAAAATTAAAAAGTACAGACTTTTTGACATATGTTTTGAAATCTTAAAACCGTCCATGAACCAGTGTTTTGCTCCATATTTCAGAAGCTGCAGCAATATCGAACTTCTCCAAAGGTGATGCGTTGCATGACCAACACGCCTGTGGTGGTGCGTGAAGGAGCCACTGTCTATGCCACGGGCACGCATGCAGAGGTGGAGGACGGAAAGCTACTGGAACAGCTAATGGGAAGCGTCGGCTACTGCACTGAAGTGGAGGAGGATCTAATTGATGCTGTCACAGGCCTGAGTGGCAGTGGCCCAGCTTATGTTCGTCTCTTCCTCACAGTCTCAAGTGCATTTAGCAATACTGCTTCACCAGCTCTGAATATGTGCGTTGGATTGTTGCCTTGCAGGCATTCTTAGCTGTTGATGCTCTCGCTGATGGTGGAGTGAAAATGGGCCTGCCCAGGAGGCTCGCTGTTCACCTCGGAGCTCAGGCCCTGCTGGTAAGAGTCTCATATTGAACTAATACCCAAGTTTTATCTAGTCAGGGTATGTAAAAGCGAAGCGCAACAACGCTATTGTTTTTTTCATAAACCTCACAAAAACGAAAGAAAATGTGTTCCTTACAAGTTTTTAAAACTTGCTTAAATGCATACAACCGTAGAAAATATCTACTATAATACACAATTATTTATTTAACAAGTGTAGCAGCTTGCAGAACCAGCTTTAGCACCAATAATGTAAAATTATTGTCCTGAATTCATTCATCAGTTTCTCAGAGGGAATATTTCTCCACCCTTCTGTACACAGTTGCCTCAGGTTTGTGAGCGTTTATTGGCTCGTATAAGTCGCCACATTGGCTCAGCATCGTGCTGACGTCTTGTTTTCAACTGGGTCAATGGAATAATAACACGGTGTCAAGTTTTGTTGCTTGCGCTCACTCGGGCACGTTTTTGGTCCAGTGCTGATTCGTTCAACCTGCGTTTTCTGGTTCTGGTCACATTCTGACTCGAGCGCCTGCATAAAGACACAGACCTGTTTCGCTGTGACACAATAAGCGTATCCTTCGTTGTGTTTCCCTGAAGGGTGCCGCTCGAATGTTGCTGGACTCTGCGCAACACCCTGGGCAGCTCAAAGACAACGTGTGCTCACCGGGGGGCGCCACCATCCACGCCCTGCACGTCATGGAGAGCGGCGGCTTCCGGAGCCTCCTCATCAACGCTGTGGAGGCCTCCTGCGTAAGAACCAGGTAGGTCGAGCAAAACACACAAACAAAGATGTTGGTGCCTTTCACAAATACGCAGAACATCTGCTTTTAGCGCAAAACGAGACGACTAATTGTAAAGTTTATATTTTAAACAGCAGGTGGAGCTATGTGCAAATACATTTTTAATCATGGTTACAATTTAATCCAGTGATTTAATTGTTATTATTACCCAACAGTGTTATTTTGTTACGAGTATATATGTTACAAACTGTGACGTAAATGTGTGTTTTTGAAAGGGAGCTTCAGTTTTTGGCCGACCAAGAGAAGATTTCGCCTGCTGCCATCAAGAAGACCACTCTGGATAAAGTCCTCCAGCAGCCAGGAGTCACTCCAGAAGCAGTTGGAGTCAGATCTCATGGGATCAGTGTTTTTAACAGCAGCAACCCAAGGACCAAGAAAAACTGATTTTTTTTTTTTGTCTAAAAATCTGTGCTGATGTTGTATACATTGAATAGAAACCACTTTTAACAGCTGGTTGTGTACATAAACATAAATATAAACAAAAAAAGACTTTAAGAAGAGAAAATAGAACTTTTTGTTGTGGTATTGTCCTGAAGAAAAAGTTGCATGAACAGTTTTTTTTTCTAATGTAGAATTTTAAGCTGTCTTAAGGTAACGGTGTGACATAAAGCAGCAAGCGACTCACTTTGGATTTGGTATTCTAGTGCAAAGCTGATTGTTCTGTGTGTAGAAATGACACTTCACAAAGATTTGATTGTACCAAAATATGGTAAGGCTTATTTTTAATAAATGGATGGCCAAAGCTTTTACTTTTAAAACTGTATGAATAAAAAAAAAAACCATGCAGTTTATTTCTGCTATTGTGCATTTAAGCATGTTAGAAAAGGCTAATTATGAAAAACTGACATAACAGGTTAATTAAACAATTTGATTGGTTATTTTCCATAATTGCTTAATTACATTTGCAAAATATACAAATAATCGCTTAATTTAAACATGTTTAGCAATTCTTATAAGGACTCGTGTAAATTTAGAAAGGAGCATTTTACTAAAACTTAATTAATAGACTGCATTTAAGCCATTCTTCTCCAGCCTTGTGTGTTTAAATTCAGTTTAAACTATTTCAGCTTGCTCTGCAACAATAAGTGTTGGCTGCAGGCTTCAGATATTTACTTTTTCTGCCACAACACCCTTCATGAATGAAGGCACGTGACCAAACACGATGACGTCTGGCTTCGATACACGAGCGCGATCAAAGAAGAAGGAGCGCGAGCCGCTACATGGACGTTGCTTTTTTTTTGTTGTCAGCGAAACCGACATTAAACGCGCTTCAGATGCTCGGTCCTTCGCAGGAGCGGACGAGAGGAGTCGTTTGGCCGCTTTAAGTTGAGGAAACGATTCATTTCAGTCCGGTAAGTGTGGAAAGCAAACGGTCGGCGGCGTTGTGCTGCGCGTGCATGCCTTCACCTGTCTTATGCGTTAGCATGGCTAGCTTTTTTTTTTTTTTTTTTTTTTTTTTTTTTTGTTAGCATGGCTAGCTTGTCAAGCTAGCTTTATTTACACCACGAACGGATTTCAAACTAAAGTTTCCGCCTCACCCAAGCGGGGATTTATACACACCTTACTCGTTAAAGGGGTTTATTTTGAAAGCGTTGTGCTGCTTATAATTTACCTGATAAACCGGCATTTGGATGAGCTGCTAGCCGCGAATAAAACATGTTCACAGGGCTATATAGCGGGGCTTAGCATCCATTTCAGGTTTTAATCCCCCCCCCGGTAAAAGGTGAGGAAGCATGTCTTGTTGTTGCCACAGTCAGCCAGTTGTAGAAAGGCTCAGCAGCTGCGGGGATTTCCTCACTTGCTTGTTTTTGGAGGCGGGGAGTTGTTTGCCACTTTCACAATCTGACGCGGAGAGAGGTTGAGTCGAGGAATGTCAGGGAAAAAAAAGCGTGCAGACCTGAGCAGGTTACGTTTGTGTTAATTTAGTTCCTTTTTTTTTTTCTGTACGTCTTTTTGTCAGAGGGAAATAATTATTTTTGTTTTTCGCGGTGTGTCAACTCATGCGCTTTCTTCTTGCTGGTCAAACCTGCTGCTTCATCACCTCGTTGTTTAAAAAAAAAAAAAAAAAAGAGGAGCAAGAAGAGCGAGTCGAGCCAGCGGTTTCACGAGATCAGGTTGGTTGTTGCTACATTTCCCCCCTCGTGTCATTTTTCATGTGATCATTCAAATCCAGGCTTGGTGATGTCCTTTTGTGTGCATGCGTTATTTTGATCTTCCAGGAAATCGCTTTCAGACCTGAAGTGACAATTCGTTTAGTTAAATTGCAACAATGGGCAAATCGAACCCTCTTTGTTTTTTTTTTAATATTTAACACCTCAGCCTTTAAGTTCATCGTGGCAGGACTAATAATGCAAACAAGCAAGAGGCGATTTTGTTTTTCTTATCATCATCATCATGCTGAATCATCACAATGATCCTCAGAATCCACCCTGAAATAATATGGCACCGCCGGACAAAAGGTCTGCTGGCTGGATGAGGGTCGATGTTTATCACCGAGCCGTCGTTAATAATAAAGGGAGATGGATCGAAACAGAGCTGCTGATCTGTCTCGTGCGAGTCAAGCTATGAGCATCAAGTGATGAGCATTTATCAATAGGCTCATCATCATTCAGCTGAGAGAGAGATGTCTTCTTTTTTTATTTTTATTTTTTATTGCAGCGGCTGTCAGGGTTGTACATCAACAAACACGGTTTAGACTGAGTGCTTAGGTGTCAACTGAGATGTCAAAGCCATTTGGGGAAATTTGCACGATAAGCAGATATTGTGTGTTGTGATAATGTGGTTCACCTCAGAGTGAGAGGATGTTTAATTTGGGCTGAATGCATATAGAGAGATGCAAACAGCCGCTGACTCCAGCAGCTTTTTAACATCTGGGTAAATGTGGCACGCCAGACAAATGCAGCAGACATGTCACAATACAATATAATTACAAGAAATAGTAAGTCGTGACGTAATTTAATGCAGTGCAACGCTTAAAATTATATGTTGCGTAGCTCTTGTCTCCCCGTGAAATTTTCTTCCTATTAGACGTATAGAAGGCGCAGGTAATGACTTAACCATCGAGACTCCCTGTGCAATTCGAAAAGTCACCTTGGAAACTGTTGAGCGCACACATGCAGGGCTAAGGAGGAAGAAGTTGCCTATTCTTGCTCAGATATCCAACTTATTTCATCATCTCTGCTCATGCGAGCAGGGGGCATTGAAGTGTGTTTAGCAGACAGGGCAGCCGTACGTCAGAAGCTCGGCTTTGCAATAAAGCGTAATGCCCATCTCTGCCTTTCTCTGCAGGTAACAAGGAAGAATGATGATTGTCCATATAAGCGTCTGACAGTGTTGTGGAGATGAAGGCAGGGAACGCTGCAGATTTATCTCATCTTTCATTGAGGGTGCAGAGATAAAACAAGGCTGAATACCATAAAGGTGAACTGAGTGCACAACTCATACCCAGTGGCGTTGCTTAGAATGGGCAGGCAGTGCTGGTGGAAGAGGATATGTGAGGTTGATGAAACATGAAGCAAGACTTTACGCTGCACACAGTACATTCTGGCCACCGACACCTCTGTATGGCCAACACAGCTGTGTTTTGGGAGTAGTTACGCCTATTCAGGACAATTACTAGCCTCCAGAAAGGAACACAAATGTGGGATTTGTCCACAAAAGTGCTGCTTAAGCTGCACAGGGAAATAAAAATGCCTGGAAGGAAGGAAGGGAAAAGATCAATAAATTTTTTTCCCCTCCTTTTTGCAATAAGGAGGGAATGTTGGTGATGAAACCTCGTGCAAGTGTAGTGCGGATTACGATTGCTTAGCGTTGCGATATGCCCGCTCCGCTTCTCAAAGTAATACTTTCATCCAGATAGTTGCAAGTGTGTGTTTGATGAGTTTCTTGGAACCCGAGTTAGACATGCCGTGTTCATTTGTGCTATCTGTTTACTCAGATTTTAGATGAGTAAACGTACGACTCTTGACAATGTTTTTATGGTTTTGTTAATATTTTGCCACCTATTTTCATCTTGGCTAATTTCTCTGTGGATCTCATCAATTTTAAACTGACAGGAAAAACAAGCCCTTCTAATGCTGTTGGAAACAACGTGATAAAAGCTATTGAAGTTGTTTTTTGAGGATTTTTTTTAGGATATACATCTGAGACAGGTCCTAAAATGTCTGAGCTGAAGATGTTTACTTTGGGGGAGAGGTAAAGATGGTGGAAGCTTGTTCATAAATATAATCTACATTGTGAAGGTGCTCGGGCAGGCTGAATGTGTGTTCAATAATGCCAGTATTCGCTGAATTATGACTTTTGAGAATAATTAAGTTGTGTACAACAAGAAAGTCTTGATTGTGAATATTTTTTGCCTGCTGCTGAGAGGTGTAGGTGGACACTTATGTTTTTGCCTGTCTGTGTGCCAGCACGTGTGTTTGTTTATCTGTTAGCAAGAGAAAGTAATTTTGGATTTGCAGCTTAAACTGAATAATTTTTAGTCGGCCCGTATCGAGATGGCTAGGAAAGCTAATCGACTTTAACAAACACAAACATGTCTGTAACTCAGCCAATTTACATTTACCGGCCTCACATTTGCTGTGGTAGTAGATGAAAGTCATACCCAACGCACATGCAAGCACAACGCATTACATAGGATTTTCGTTTACAACTAGAAATTAGATGTGTCCGTTACCAAAACATCGTGAACTACTGCTCCTATTTTAATGGAACTTTCAGGAATGAATTGTTGGATATACCAGTAATTCCAGTTCAAGAATGCCACAACAGCTAAGTGACATTAGCCAACACATTGATGATTATAATCTAGTCATTTTTACAGAAACTGAGCTCAAATTTGATGTAGTAGTCTGCTCGTATTCTTTTCCTGGTTTGACCAAAACGTCTCCAACTCCATCATTTTTCACTATTAAATGTTTTTAGTCAGATACTTTGGCATGAAATGTGGCAGGTGATATTATGCAATCCTTCAAGGAATGCTAAATCATTATTTTTATGCTTTGTTGTGCTGGTTTTTGAGCAGGTCAAAATGTTTGTGTAGGAATACATTAAAAGTAAATGAGACTGTGCGGTTATGTCCTTTAAAAAAATAAAATATCTGGCATACCTAATTAATATTTTTTATACTTTTGGAATATGCCCTGACGTGATGTGATGCCAGTGGTATTTGTAAACATTCTTCTTCTTTTATGAACAATAGTTATTTTTTTGACCATCTCATCAATGTGATATCCTGCAGGCAGACACCATCAACCATAATTTAAACAGAGCAGGGGCACTATTGTTAACAGAAATTAATGTTTTTGTTTTTTGCGTATAAGTGCTGACTAAATCTATTTGAATCAAAGCTATTTAGGGGTAACAAAAAGAAAAGAAAAGATGAAGCATTTCTTTTTTTATTTGGTGATACTTCACAGCCCTCATTACAGCGGGGTGTGTAAACTGACAGAAAACGGAGGAGAATCCATCCTTTGCAGTTCTGCTAATGAAACAAAACATGCGACTTGTTTGGCTTTAAATGCATGTTGCTGTGCTGTGTTCTGCAGAGGCTGCGTTTGGATCTTGTTAGGTCATTGCAACATGCATTTAAAACAAAGCAAGCGCTGCGGCTGTAGCTCTTGGGTATCCTGCCAGTGTGTTGGTTGTCTTCAACCCTTACTTCCTCTGCCAGCCAGTGTTAGGCTATCAGGAGCTATTCTCTTTCTGTTTAATCAAGTCCTCCAGGCAGATACTGTGAAGGCCAGTAGAGTCGCTCCTCCTGTCTTGCTGCTTGTACTAACAGCTCCAAGAGTAAATAGTGGCAACTGAGCATGGAAATAGATTTTTTAAGTAAGGAAACACTGGTGAATACAAACTAGTTCCTTTTTTAAATAGACTTCATTTTATAAACTACTTCTAAAAAAAAATCCCTCAGGGGCTGTGATTCATGTTTTCACTTTAGATTTTGCATCCTGTTTATGTCTGTTAGACATAAACGTGCCACACTTTTTTTTTGCATTGCAAGTAGCTTCTATATGTGATCTGCTTTTACAGTTGAATCTTTTTTTCTTGCCTTGAAAGAAAATGTTTCTCTTTTGTGATATCAATTATCTTCCTTTAGCTATTTATATTGCCTCAATATAACAAAACCAAAGTACGGTACTTGAAATGGATGTAGAATGGTACAAATGCTGGCTTTTTTTTGTTGTTGTTGTTGTTGATGAATTATCATCCTTTTTAGAATAATTAAAAAAATGGAAATAAGAGTTGACTTAAAAAAAAAACAAAGCAAAGGAATATCACTCTAAAAAAATCTATGTTTGTCTTGAAAGGCTAATCTGTGTACAATCTGTGTCTGGTATTTTTATTTATTTTTTTTTTTTTTTTGAATGTCCAGAGGACCAGATTGAACTTTTTTGGATTTTTCTACCTGGATTATTGAGCATGCATCAGGATAATCTGTGTACAGTTTTCTCAGTAGCTGATCAGCGAGGACATCACAAGAATTGTAGGGAATCCCCAAAGTCCCAGATCGGGCAAACAACACAGCAGGCCACACACATAATGGCTGCCTCCCAGGCTTTTGTCCATGCAAACTTTTAACGATGATGATGTTCTCGGGCCAAAATCGACTTGGAATATATCGAAGGATACATAAAAGTACAACTCAAGCGCCGGCTACAATGCAGGGTGCTAGCTGTGTCAGCCACTAGGCCGAATTGATAAGCGTATGTGTGGCGTTACCCGCTTCTTCCTTTACGGGTCACGGGGGTCACTGGCGCCCATCTAGCAGTCATTGTATGAGAGGCGGGGGACACCCTGGACAGGTTGCAAATCCATCACAGGTAAACATCGGAACAAACAACCATTCCCTCGCTCACTCACCTAGTCAAGTCAAGTCAAGTCATCTTTATTTGTAGAGCACAATTTAAAACAGATAAACTGTTATCAAAGTGCTTTAGGAACAGTTTAGGTGTTAGCCTGACCAGTTAGCCTAACCAGTTAGCCTAATGTATGTTTTTGGTCTTTGGGAGGAAACTGGAGTACCTGGAGAAAACCCACGCATGCACACAGAGAATATGCAAATGCCACAAAGAATGTCCCGTTCCCTCCAACAAAGTGTTTAGAACTATAA